GACCAGACTTAGTTCATCAAGCTATGGAGAAAGTGAAAGTGATTCAAGAGATGTTGAAAACAGCACAGGGTCGTTAGATATCCTACACTGATGTTAGGAGAAGGGAGTTAAAGTTTGAAGTAGATGATTAGGTATACTTGAAAGTTTCACCCATGAAGGGTGTTATGAGATTTGGTAAGAAGGGGAAACTTAGTCCCCGGTATATTGGCCCTTACAGAATATCCAAGAGGATTGGTAATGTATCTTATGAGTTAGAGCTACCACAAGAGTTAGCAGCGGTTCATCTGGTATTTCACATCTCTATGTTGAAAAAGTGCATAGGCAATCCTTCATTAATCATACCAACTGAAGATATTGGTATCAAGGATAGCTTGTCCTATGAGGAAATTCCGGTTCAGATTCTAAATCGTCAAGTCCGCAAGTTGAGGACTAAGGAAGTAGCATCAGTCAAAGTTCTTTGGAGAAATTAGTTTGTTTAGGAAGCTACTTGGGAAGATGAGGAAAATATGAAGAAGAGATATCCACATCTCTTTGAAACCGGAGAAATTTCAGACCAAGGTACTAATTCTCTTCTTAGTGCTCTTTAATTTATAAGTTGGCTATGTTATATTTGCATTGCTTGTTGGGTGTTTGAGCTGAATGTTAGATGTTACATCCTTAGCCTAGTAAGAGTAATCTCATTCAAGGATGAATGTTCCCAAGGAGGAGATATTGTAACATCTCGCTAATTGAAAGAACTAGAAAGAGATAGAATTGGAAATAGTCATTTTAGGAAAGAATGAAAAATCTGGAAAATTGGTCAAGTTAAGTTTGAGTTTTGGTCAACTTAAAACGATCCTAACTCCTAACTCAGGATGCTTTAGGTGTGCATATAGATACCGTAGAAAAGATCTTGGAATTAGCTTTCCAACGCCGCCGAGTTTGCACGATTCCGAGTTCGTATGAGTGAGATATGCTCATTTGAAGTTGGGCTATTCAAATAAGGAAGTCTAATCCGGATATTGGAAGGGTATTTTGGTCTTTTCCATACCCAATTATTTTAATTCATTTTTAGGAGTTAATTTGGGGTCTAATCAAAATTAGATCAGTTTAGTCCATTGGAAATTCACGCTAGGGCTTGGAGAAAAGAGAAAAGAGGAGAAAGTTCAAGATTCATTAAGTTCTTCAAGAATCGCTTGTGGATTTCGTGAAGGGGTGATCCCTACGAGGTGTGTGAGATCACATATCGTTGGGTTAGTTCACCCACACGCCAATCATGATTCAATTCAGCGAAGTTGTATTGTTTTTAAAGCAAATCCTATGAGTTCTTGATATTAATTCGTTTGAAATCTTTCTTGTTGTTGAAGTTTCTTGAGGTTGATTCATGTATTTAGATGTGATTTGGAGTTGAATATTGCATATATTGAGGGTATAGTTTATCCTAAGTGTTTAGGGGAAAGAACTAAGTTGAATTAGGGGGTTTAGAGTTGAAAAACAAAGAAGAAAAGTCGGAGGTCTCCTTGGCATGGGCCTGGGGCGCCGCCCCAGCCAGAGTGCCCCAAAAGGGTCTTTGAAATTTGGGCTCTGGGGTGCTACGCCAGCCAGATCGCCCCAACCCTTCCCCTTAAATTCAAGGGCTGGATCCCCACGCCTCTCAGAGCGCCAGGGACGCTAGTTCTTCCCATTCATCCCCCACCTTTCCATACTAGTTCCTTAGCTACGTACCTATATTTTCTAGTTGATTCCAATACTCTAAGGTACGTATAAACATCATGAAATAACCCATAAACATGAGATCATGAACCTTGAATCTATAATTCATTTCAAGGAAAGTTAAGAGTCAAGTCAAGAGGCAAAGAGTTAAGTCAAGAAAAGTTCATAAAGTTTTCAAAAAGTCTTTAACAAATATTTTAACTTTGTTGTAAAACTTAAGCTTTGAGTTGAGTAATGAGTAAGAGTAAAGTTCAATTCTTCAAATATTATACGGGAACTACGTATTCCCAAGAGTTAAAAATGTTTTCACAATTGAGCAAGAAGGGAAACACTGATTTCCAAGAGATTTTTTAAGCTAAGTTTTGAGTAATTATCTCAAACCAAAGAAAGAGTTTTTGTTTTTAAAAACATATGAGTTAAGTATATTTTGGGAGTAGTATTGAGCACCGATATGGGGACGCGAGTTCATAATAACTCAAGTCTCCATAAACCATGTAACCATCATGGGTAGAAAAGGATCATACTCTTTAGATGATTCGTTAACTGCTTTTTAGCATAGTCTAGTGGATCCACTTAGTTAAGGCGTTCTATATGACAACAAAGTATAGTACAGTTCTGGCAGCGTGGGCAAGACGTTGTATCATCACTTAGGCTCATAGTGATGGTTGTCGGTTAGAGAAACTCCTACAGTATTATATTACTTTATTATATGAGTAAATTGAGTTGTTATCGCATTTCTTTAACAAACTCAGCTGTTTTCTACTATTTTAAAAACCAAGGTAAGTGTTCCTTTTAGATTCTTTTCAAGATTATGTTTTGTTTTAGTATTCCCCCGCATACTCGTACATTCAATGTACTGATGTCATTTGTCCTGCATCATTTTATGATGCAGACACAGATAACCATGATCAACATCCAGCACCTCGTTGATGCAGTTGAGCACTCAGAGTCAGTTGGTGAGCCTCTTTGCTTTCCGGAGGAATCTTTTTACTTAGTTTTCTAGTATTTCAGTTGTTAAGATGATCGGGGGTCTTATCCCGACATCCCTCATTGTTTAGAGGCTTCATAGATGAGTAGTTATAGTCCTTTAGTCTTTCCGTTTTCAATTGAATAAGTTAAGACTTGAGTTGCCATTTTGGCTAAGTTATTATCTTTGAAGTTATTGCATGAGTTATGTTTTGAGACTATTTCTTATGTTTAAGTCTTCCGCTGAGTTATTGCATGAGTTATAATTCTTACATTCATTGTATGAATACAAAAAGAGAAAAAGGCATGCATTCATTGTATGTGCATTCATTGTATGAATACAATAAGAGAAAAAGGTACATTCGTGATAATTCAATTTAGGTCTTCCATTTTCCAATTAATGTATAAATGATTTTTTTTAAAAATTCCTTTTGATGTTTTAATATACAATGTATGTGTTACTCACCTGAAAAGTTACATAGAATTTTTGAGAATTGCAAACAAATAATATTAAGGAGTTTTGAAAGGTTCCCAAAGTGCTTTTATTATTTCTTATCTATATATGTAGCTCACATAATTGATTTTTACATGGCAAGACTTCTATAATATTTCAGTTTCTTACATTTCTTTATAGTTTCTTTGTCCCTATCGCGTCCATCAAATGGCTTGTCATAAATCATGAATGGAAGACAAAATTGTAACAAAAACATGCATATAAGATCAAGTTAGTCAAAATTAAACGTTTCCGAATTAAAAAAATAGCTCAAATCTCGTGGATCAGTTCAATATCAAAAATCATTCGGAGAACGATACTCTTTTTTTTAGATCCAAAATCGGGTCCTTAAAAAAATATGGTTAGAGTCAAAGAAATGGATCAAACCCAGCCCATCTCAATAATAAAAAGCACTACAATTAATAAAAGAAAAGTCTATAAGGTTCTCGAAGGGTTTCTTGACTGACCTCTCCTCTCTTCTCCTTCTTTTTTGTCATTGCCGCTTGTCCACACTAATCTTCTCCTGTGGTGGGTGAGTCGTTCTTGAGATGAAGAGATCTGGGCTATGGTTGGTCGGAGCTGGATTGGCGCAACACGATTGTGAGTCTCCATCTTCTTCTAAGCTCAGGTAAGGAGATCTTCTTAGTTTTTCGTATTTCATTCTTGTGTTGATAGATTTGTTTCTTTATATTTGGCTTGTTGGATTTGATTCAGGTGTGTATAATCTTGTTCCAATACTACTGAAGCTATTGAGTTTACCTTCTTTTTCTCAAATTTGTCACAACCATCTTCAGGTACATCTCCTAAGCTTTTAGATAATTTACCATTTATCAAGTCTTTTCTTTGATGGTTGAATCTCATATGGATATTAATACCACCATCTAAAGATTAGACCACCTAAAGTTTATACTTAACTTTTTTACTTTATTAATGCATATACCTATAAGGCGTTGTCACGACCCAGACCGTCGTGATTGGCACCCACACTAACCATCCGATGGGAGAACCACTACTAAGAAACTAAACCAAAACTAAGACAATTAAGTTACGGAAGCAAGTTAATTAACTAAACAAATGCGGAATTGAATACCTAGAACCTAAAAGTCAATGTACCAAATCTATACTAACGACAATTCTAAAAACAAGGGATACAACCCCAAAACTAAACAACACCATTAAGAAATAGTGTGAGACCGAAAAGAGTGGACTTAAACAAGAAAGATCCACGGCAACCCGTAAGAACTGGCTCACCCTTGAATCCGGTCACGCTCAATAGTTGTTGACACCTAATTTTGACCAACCTTTAACCCTTTTTGAGAATGCTATTCAATTAAATACGTATTTTAAAAAACTATTTCGAGTTCAAGATTTTAGTCGATTTTGTCTAAAGATTATATATTTTAGTAAGCTGGATTTATAAAAATTATTGTAATTATTATTAAATTATTATTATATTTATCGATAGTTAAACTCGAAATAATTACTTATTTAAATGTTTTAAGAAACTGAGATGTGTATAATATATATGGAAATATTTTAAAATATATAGTATTTTATTAATTGGATAGCAATTCCTAAATTTTCCTCCAAATCATTTAAATTTTAACCTATTCTATTTTAATTCATTTCAATTCTAGCCACTCTAGTTCAAACTTTCATTTCAATTATAACCAAGTATCGATTCCAATTCTAGCCTATTTAATTCAATTCCAAATCACCAAGCCTTTTAATCATGGCCGTCGATATCATCCTTTAAATCCCAGCCCCTCATCTTAACATGAATCAATGGTCTAGATTAAATATCCTATGTCTTTCCTATTTTAATAAAAAAAGACCCCAAACCCTAATTTATTCTTCTTCTTTCTCCTTCTCTAATCAGCGTTGCAGACCCTTTTGGATCCTCTCCATTTTGCTGCGGCGAGAGCAGCCATGCGCACTAACCGACAAAAATAACAATTTTAAACTCCGACCGGCAAGTGGTCGCTAAACCAGCAGCTCCCGCAGCAACCAGACGAGCCACCGATCGACCCCAATCGTCGGGGACCCCTCGTCTTCCTTCTTCCCCTTTCCCCATCGTTCCTCTTTCTCCTCCTTCCTCTTCCCTCGCTGCTCAGATTAGCGATTCCGACGGAGGCAGCACGAGAACCAGCAGTTGTAGGCGGCCAATTCGGTGCCTCCTCTCTGTCCTCTTTCCGGTGAGGACCACCGGTGAAATCAGCAGGGCCACTAGTCGCCCGCTTCTCCGAGGATGACAACAACAATACCAACCAGCGAAACTCCATTCGAACGATAGCTCCGGCCAGCGACTCAGCAAACAAGCAACATAAAATATGATAATAGAGTTCACTCAGAGCTCGATATTTTGGTTGGTTTAGGACGGATCTCAACAGATTCGTCCAGGTATTGAATCTACGATACACAATTATAGTTTAGTCCTTTGGAGTGGTTTATAGCATGTTTCAAATTGTTATACTGTTGAGGTTTATTCATATTAATGCGATATGTGATTAAATTTGTATTAAAATTTTGCTTAAAATTAAAGGTTTGTGCTTGCTTATTTCCCCTTTTTTTTTAGTGATTCTTGAAGCTAATTTAGTGGTTCTTGATGGGAGATTTGATCTAATTGTTTGATTATTTCCTTAGTTAACTGGATTAGTTGTCCATTTGCCGATTGTGATCGACATGGATGTGATGATTGCCCTTAATTGATTAATGTTTCCTCTTTCTTTGTTGCTCTGGTTTAAACTTGCCTAGTATATCTTGTACAATTTTTGGTAAAATTGTGGTATGATTATTCCTTCCTTAATATAGCATTGTTTTAAATTGATATTTTTGATCGACTAAGTATAGTTACCTCAACTAAAGCGGGCAAATTTACCTTTATTTGGTAAAATAATAAATTAATTAAAATCTGATTTGGCTATCCTTTGAAATAAGGAAAATATTATATTAATTGATTCCTTAAAATATTTATTTCCCTTATATGTGTCCCTCTTCTACTATATAAATAGAACCCCTCCCTTAATTATAAAATACTCTCACATTCAGACATTGGCTTACACTCAAAAAAAAAAAGACTAAAAAAATACTTCTTTCTACTCTTAAAAAAAATTAAGTTTTCCGATAAACATTAAAGTTCCTCTCTACTTGCTATTTTGCAGTGTACGGGTCGGTAATTGGATTAAGTATGGATCTTCATTGTTGTTTTCTTTTACTGCATAACTGGTTAGTAACCTTTATACATGTTTAATTTATGTTCTGCATCATCTTAGTTATCTTAAGTCCAAAATTGGGTATTAATAAATAAAAGGAAGCATCCAGGTCAGTTTTCTTCTCCCTTATTATGTGTGATATTATATTTTGCTTGAATGAATTGTTTGTTCAAATTTGGTGTGTATGCTCTGAGCTATTTTATAATTAGTTTGTTGTACTATCCATTCACTCTTTCACTTTGGTTTAGCAGGCTGAATTTAGTTTCGGGAGTTTGAAGAGTTGCCTGGGATGGGTCATTGGGACAAGATTTCTTTTGTTTTTAGCTATAATATTTGTATTTGCTATTATGGTTTTGTAATATTTTTTTTGTAACTCTAACTCTCTCCATATATGAAATAATTTGGGGGAATTGTGTAAGGGGGAGGGGGATTCCATGCTAATTATTTTATTTATATACTTCATTATTTGTGATTGCTAAATTTATCCATATATATATAATTTGTATTTTTATAAATAATAATAAAAAAAAAACATGTTAATTAAATAACCTATTTTAAACAGATCTAGATTTCAGCATATTTATTATTTCAGCTAATTGTCTTATACTTGTTAATCACTTAGATAGCATGTCTATAGGCTTCTAATAATTTTCAACATGTCCAAAATTGAAATAAATATGTTATAGATATTTGTTGCTCACTATTTAATAATTTCTGCATCATGATTACTTGTTTACTGCCATTTAAGATAATTTAATTAACTACTTCAGCTTGATTATAACTAATTAAAATTAACACACATAATTAGTTTCTGCAATGTTAATGATTAAATATTTTCTGCATGTTTAAGAGTTAAATCAGTATGATAATAATTAACTAAAATCTGAATTGTTTTAAATGTTTGCCTTGTTAATTAATTAGTCTAAGTAATTCAGCTGTTTAATAACTTGATCCTGTCAGTTAACTGACCAAGTTCTAACAAATTTGCATGTTAATCATTTAGAAATCATGCTTATAGGTTTATTAATCAAATTTTCTGCAGTAATAATGATTTGGTTACTGAGATCAGTTTAATTAAATAAATTCTGCAACTTATCGTAATTTTCTGCATCTCTGAAATTAATCAATAAATTATTATAATATTGTTATGCTTGTATGCACACACTTAGCATGAGACCTTCACTAATTATGTGTTGTTTGCAAGCATGTTAATTAAAACTTAGAGGTCAACATGAGACTTTATGTGCTAAGTGTTGTCTAATGTGTTTCGCTTGGTGTCTAGGGGGCTTATTTAGAAGCATATATTTTATTTTGGTCTAAATCCATCCTAATAGTAGTCCAATGACTCTTGGACCTTAAGTGGGGACGCTAGGCACCTTTTAGAGATGAAATGCATGCGAAAGGTGGGGTAGGGGTAGTTTAGGCCCTATGGAGATGATTACATTGCCTCGAGCCGTAAATGACAAACATTTATTTTGTTTGTCCCTATATAGAAGCCGAGCGCTGATCCGTAATGTCCTTCAGAGTCTCCCTTTCCTTTTGTCCCTTTATTTGTTTATAATTATAATTGTCTGGGGTAGCTTAAATAAATATATAAAATTATTTGTCTATTTACTTGTGCAATTTCTGTCTTCTCGCTTATCTCTTTACTAACTGTTTAATATTTATTTGTTATTATGTTATCACTTAGTATTGCATGTTTAACTAATTAATTAAAATAACTAAAGTGCATTTAATTGTTTAATATTATATCACCTAGTTTTGCATGCTTAATTAATTAAATAAAAAATAACTGAAGTAACCTTAATTGTTAAATGTCATTTATCTCTTTGTAAGCATGTTTAAGTTAAATAACCTAAATACTGAAGTGACCTTAATTTCTATTTGTAACCCCCACATAAATTGCATGAGATACGGCCGAGACCCACATTTGTGGATCTTGAGGGATGCCTAACACCTTCCCCTCGAGGTAACTTGAACCCTTACCCTGATCTCTGGTTTGTTGACCTTAGTTAGATTTAGCTAGGTTAGATAGGTGTCCTAACGCGCCTTAATTCGTTAGGTGAGGACTCTTCAAATCACCCAAAAGCCAAAAAGAAGTTGTTAGGTCGAAACTCATTTTTTAGAAAAATTGGGGGCGACAATAGTCACCTAACTGAAGTCTATCAATAGCCACATGAAGATGCCCTGTAATCAACAAAGAAAGAGCAAGTGCAGTATCGGTACACAACCAAAGTGTACTGGTAGGATCACGTGGCTATCCCAATAAGTGTAACATACATTATTGATATACCGTGAGTTTATGGTATTTTTAATACATTTCACTTAAGAGTTGTTTATGTGTCTAGAGCCATTTTGCATTGGTTTTTTATGTATTTTTATTATGTTAGCAGGAAATATGTTCAGACGCGAAAACTGAGAGACAAAGTTGAATAATATGCAGAAAAGCCCATCTACGGATGTGATTGATGGACCATAGGTCCATTCACGTTCTGTAGATGATGATCGTAGATGGACTAGCAAGGCATGGAGGAAGATCAGGGAATTCTTGACCAAGTGTTGAACAACGGTTGCAAACAACGGACCGTAGATTGATCTATGGATCGTACTGTTGATCCGTCAAATGCGACTGAGAGGGGTTCCAGTACCTAATTTTGGAAGATTCTAAGTATGGAGCTACGGAGGATGATCTACGGACCGTAGACTGATCTACGGACCGTACTGTTGATCCGTCGATTGAAGCTAGGAGGTGTCAATTGTTGAAGTTCAAAAAACAGCTAAGTCCTGAGTCACAGAAGGGACCTACGAGTCGTAGATCAATCCACTGTCTGTAGGTAAGTGTCGTATATCGAAGACGCGTGCCGAAACATTATTTCCTTATTTTTTTTCCTTTTTATTTAGGACTTGTTTTTCTATAAATAGGGCATGTAAACCTCGTTTTTGGAGGTTAGACCTTATTATTTTAGTCCTAGTTATTGGCTTTGGAGATTAACTTGCAACTTTAAAAATTATTGATTTCCTAGGTTCGTTTTGAAGATTTTTAATTTGAAATTCAAGTTGAGATTATGGGTTTCTTCTACTTATTACGTAAGTTCATGATTTCTTCAGCTAAAAAATTGAATTTTGTTCTTGCTATTTTGGGTAACTAAATCCACAACTAGGGTTGTGGGAACCATAAGCGATTGACAAAGAATGAATAGTAATTAAGTAATTCTTGAATAGTGTTATTGCATGTATTGATAATTCTTTCATTTAGAAGTCTTTTTAATGAGTGCACGCGTTAGAACTTGCCTTTTTGCTACTTGCCGGACCAAGGAGGTAGTGAGTAAGAAAAGAATTATCAATATAATTTAGTGTGATACTATCTAATAGTCTAATGTCGATTGGTGCGAGGGTGAAAACTAAACCATACATCGATGTGATGTCTAATATGAGGTAACGACAAGGGGTAGTAAATTATACACACGTAGCCAGACAAAGGTGTGGGGTGAAATTATCTAGTTGTCGGACCAAGGAATTAGAGATACCTAACTTATCACTTTGCATGTAATATACTAGGAAAGGATTGCTATTACTAGGATTACCGCGTTATGAGCTTATGGGGAACACGTACACCCTAGTTACTTTCTCATTTTGATAACACCTAAAGTTTGAATCTTGCTCACTAATCATTCACATAATTTTCAGAATTTCTTTCACAATTCCCCCCCTTTAATTACTTGTTTCAGAATTACGTTGACTAAACGAATATAATCGTAAGTTAAGTTTAATTATAAACCATATTCCTCGAGGGATCGATCCCAACCTTCAAGTTGGGTTCTTTACATGATAACGATCGCTTATACTTCTTTAGGGAGCTGTAATTTGAGCGTATCAAAACCTGAGAGAGACTAGAACAAAAGAAAAGAGTAAAATTAGGAAATATTTGACTAAAGTTCAATACTTGAGTATGCCAAGTACACGGAGTGAAGGAGAACCACTTACTCCCTACGATCCAGAACTTTGCGGAGAATGAATAATCAAGGAGTGCCAGCTAATCCTATCGGACGAGATGTAGGTGATGGTGTTGGGTTGCAGCTTCCGAGGGTTGGTGATGAGAATAATCAGATTCAAGCTGAGAATCTATTGAGAGATATAGTGAGGATACAAGATCAACCAGGGCCAAGACTGCATGATAACTATAGGGTCTACTTTAATGCTGCTAAATCAGATGGACCTCTTGTTCTACCCCCTCTACCTTCGGGGAATACATTTGTGGTGACTAGCAGTTTGATGCAGATGCTCACAGTGAGGGGGTTCTTTGCTAGTCTGGCCACGAAGGATCCACATGCGCATGTAACCAAGCTAAGGAGTGTTTGCAAAAGTTGTGTGGGTCGACCGGACTTGGACGTGGATGTCATTGGATTTCGAGTAGTCCCTCTATCAATGACCAGCGATGCTGCTGTGTGGTTTAATGAGCTTCCTTATAACTTAATCTATACAAGGGAACAATTGACTGATGCGTTCCTAGCAAGATTATTTCTACTGTCCAAGAAGCTGAACCACAAAGATAAACTCAACAATTTTGTAGCACTACCTAGAGAGTCCGTGAGTAGTTCTTGGGACAGGTTCACTGCTTTCATACATGGTGTTCCGAATCATCGTATTGATAATGAGTCGCTGAAGGAATATTTCTACCGAGGTCAGGATGACAACAGTAAGGCAGTGCTTGATACTATTGTTGGAGGTTCATATGGTGAGTGTACTTTTGAGCAGATTGTAGAGAAACTGGAGAAGATCTCTTGGAATAACAAAGTTTGGAGCACTAGAAAGTTAGAGACGGGGAGGAACACCTTAGCCATTCATACTACAAACAACCAGTCTGCAGAAGAGATTCGTGAGGAGATGGATCAGATGAGGACTGAACTAGGGTTGGTTTTGAAGCATGTGAGCGGAGGTGCGGAGAAGGTAAATGCTGTGAATTATTTGACTAGGAGTCCACCACCGATTAAGAAGTGTTACTATGAAGAGGATGCTTATGCGCTGAATTATCAAACGGGGGGTTTCCGACCAAACACCCAAGGTTCCAGTACGGATAGTTGGTGCCAAGGTCAAGGAAACCAAGGTCGGAACTATGACAACTACAATCGAGAGGGTCAATATGTTCGGGATGGGAACTTCAATCGCGATAACAACTACAATCGGCACAACTAGGGCAATAAAAATGATCGGGTTGGACCTTATGTAGCCCCCTCAAAATCGGGAATCTAGTCCTAGGGAAGCTGGAAGTAATATGTCACGTATTGAGGATATGATGCAGAAGATGATGAGGAGGTTTGATGCAGAAGATGATGAGGAGGTTTGATGCAACTGATGAGAATGTGAAGGAGATGAGAAATGACTTGTCTTGTATTGGTCAAAAAGTTGATTCCCATGCAGTGTCAATCAAGCATCTTGAGCAGCAGATGACTCAGTTATCAACGATAGTAAATCCACGTCAA